GTCCAAGTATCTTTGCGCTTGGAAAAATGGCATTAACGCAGTAGGGGTCTTCCCCACATGCATCACTCAGCACTCTAAAATTCCTACAGCATCCTAAGCCGCGAAACACTGATAGCTAAAACCCCCTTTCCAACTCAAAGCCCGAACCTTTCCGAAGACCTCTAGGAGGCAGGGGCCTTCGGTTCCTTGGGAGGCCCAGCAGACCTCGCAGCCTTGGCCGGCGGAGCCTTCACTGGTTTGTGCGTCTTCTCCTGGCAGGAGATGCTTGAACCCGGGTTTAATTTAAGGTTTAGGGTTTAGGGTTTAGGGTTTGGGGTTTAGGGTTTAGGGTTTAGGGTTTAGGGTTTAGGGTTTAGGGTTTAGGGTTTAGGGTTTAGGGTTTAGGGTTTAGGGTTTAGGTTTAGGGTTTAGGGTTTAGGGTTTAGGGTTTAAAGTCGCACTCGGGAGGGGCTTGGGGACGTGGGGAGGGGCGGTGGACCCTCTTTGCAACAGCTAGGAAGAGTTTCGGCAGCTGGGTCCATCGAAGTGGGGCTGGTGACCTGAGAGTTGGTATTGATGGCTTTTGGCGTCGGGTGCTTCCGGGCCTTGATATTTGCGAAGTTGATGTCCAGCAAGTGCTTCATCATCAGAAGGAACTCCGGGAAGTCGGCATCCTGCAAGGTCTTCTACGAACATTACTTGTAATTACTTGACTAGCATCTCCTACGCCCTCTTCAGCCCATGAAACAAAAGAAAATCTAAGCCTACAACCCATACAACAAACAAAAACAGTGCTGCGGATGTCAATCCGGAGAAGTAATTTTCTTCACTTCCAACGCTCCTCAATTTGCACCCCCGTGTCATGCAATTTGCGCTGGTGCTGCAAACGTGGCAGTGCAGGTCCTCGAAGCTCCGCTTGCTGCGCACTTCGCCAGAGATCCGGCGGGTGAACTGCGCACAAAGGGTCCCATCGTCATGCGGTGCCGTATCCTATTTCATACGATTTCGAGTAGCGCGGGTTGTTGCAAGTTTCCTTGCAAGCAAGGGCAAAAGCCGTTTATGCCCTCATCACCAGCAACCCAACAGCTGAATCCTGAGCACAGTCTGGAGACGAGGCTTCACCTTCGCAAAGATGTCTTTCAAGTCCGCGGTCAGGGCATCCCCAAGGGGCGTGATGTCGTGGATCATGTTCCGGAACTGCATGGCAACACTCCGGCAGTCAATGAGTACACAAAGCACGTCACAAGAGACATGATGGCGCATGTTTCTTTCGCCGGGTCCTGGTCGAAGGAAAGCTCGGCAGGTAGTGAACTTTCATGGGACGCATTGGCGGCTAGGATGAAGAGGTCCCGAAACCTTAAGAGAGAAAACCGGTGACACACACAAAAGCATGCTTTGTCAGGCCGGCTGACAAGTGCAAGATCTCACAAGTACCAAGGCTTCTGTAGGCTTCTCGCTGGGCCACTTCTGAGCCACTGAATGCGGTTGCCTCCGCAACTACGAACACGAAAGAGAGAGAAAGAGACAGAAAGACAGAGAAAGACACAAATGGAGAAATGCAGGTCATGTCTGTGTGGTTTGGGCGTGATAAACGTTTCACAGCCTGGAGCCAACATGATGACTTGCAACGACTATGATCTCCGGCCTGCCGTACAAACAAGCAATGACAAACATCATCTAAACCCTGAAAGAATGAATACTGGAAGCTTGGTGACATGTGAAAAGCGACGCATCCAAGCCCATAAATATGAGTTATACCCTAAACCCTAAACCCTACACCCTAAAACCTAAAACCTAAACCCTAAACCCTAATGCTGGTGCCTGGACTGCTTGCTGCTCCTTGTGCAGGCGCTGCCCATCCTTCCAGAGTTTCACTAGCGTTTCGGGTTTAGGGTTTAGGGTTTTGTCGGTGTTTTGGAGATGTGTTCTGGGCTTTGGGGCGTCTAGGGCTTCGGATTTCGGATTTTGGGCTTGGGGGGGAAAGCAAAACCGCCCCGCCTGAAATTCGCGGAAGAGCTGCATCAGCTTCAAGAAGTCCTGGAAGACCACACCTCGCAGCTGGGAAACTGCACCAAACCAAGAAGCCCCTAAACCCTAAACCCGAAACCCGTAACCCTAAACCCTAAACCGCCCTTTCTGGCAAAATCCTGGTTCTACCCTAGTTGCGACACCGGAAACAAGCCTAAAACATTGCAAGCCGCTCTCGGCTTCTGCTTTCTCTGGCCGCTATCAACCTTAAAACAGCTAGTGTGGGGTATCTGGCGCCTTCCTGCCGGGAGCCGTCACTGAGCGCCTGCCATGTGACGCGCATTGCCCAAAAACACCATCCATGCTTTCTCAGAAGTGCAGGTCCACAGAAGACGACGAACAAAAGTCCGAGCTGCGGGGGCCACTTGGGCTTGGGTGCCCCCGCACGTGCCACGCAGCGTCCTCACCGGGGGCTGGGGGGGGGGCCCTAAACCCTAAACCCTAAACCCTAAACCCTCAACCCTAAACCCTAAGGGGGGGCGGCCTCCTTCATGATGCGCTGCAGATCTGGGCGCAATCTCCTCCGGAAGCACGGCAGTTGTTGCAATCTGAGTCGCGACCCCATTGACTCTTCCGGCCTTACCCGCAAGCTCTTGCACATCTGGGGGGCTGCGCTACTAAAAGCCCATTAAATTGCGAAGAGAGTCCCTAAACGGAGGGCTTACTTTGGGGTCTGGTGGTATGAAAGACTAATTTGGTACTTGTTCGTTTCTTTCTGTGTCTGGACCTGGCGATGATGAGCTTCGTGCCTGTAACTCCAAGTACGTCTTCCAGACAACCGTTGCAGACCGACATCTTGAAAGCAAAATGCGCGATTGCCGGACAACACTTGACTCCCTCCCCCCTCCCCCCCGCCCCCTCCCGGGGAGGGGGGTCGTTCGAAACTTTCGTTCGAAACGTTTCGGGGATTTAAAAAATCGAAACTTTCGCTCGAAACGTTTCGCTCGAAACTTTCGTTCGAAACTTTCGTTCGAAACGTTATTGGGACCCAAACCCTAAACAAACCTCCTGTCCTATCCAAGGTCGCAAGGACGGAGTTGACCCCTAGGCCCACCTCATGGGCCTCAAGGTCGCCCTCAAGCGGAGGTTCGAGCTCCTCCCGCTCGGCTATCTCTACCGAGGTATCGACTGCCTCTTTCTCGATGCAGGCGGGGCAGCGAGAAAACAGGTAGGTCCGCTTGCCGCAGATGCATAGACCCTCGTGGTCCCAGAGGGGTCGTGACGGCTCGTCCAGCATCCCTCTAATGCTGGCATCATCGATGGAACGAACCGCGTCCAACCTCAAGGACCGCAGAACTTCCGCCCCCAATGCCTGCTTCCCTACGATCCCAAAACCTCGCAGGGGAGGCTCCGGAAAATCCTTCTTGAGTTCCGGACAAGCCTCGGCCACTTCCAAGTGGCCTTGCTGCGTGCGCCAAAGGCGTGGCCGCACCGCCCAGATAGCCTTGATGCCTGCCCAAGCCTCTCCTACAGCCCTAGCTTCTTTGCGCTGCAGGTTCCTTGCTTGGAGCGTGAGCTCAACAACCAAAGGCCACCTAAGGACGGCTGTGACCAGCCCGCCTTGTCCAAGTCCTACGAGGAACTGCGGACGAAACCCCGAAGCTTCCCTAAGAACCTTGGCACACGAAGTGAGCAAGTCGACCCTGATCCGCTTGATCTTCTTGGTCCCTGCGAGCCTGCCGGCCCCGCAATCGAAATGCGAGGCAAGCCCGTCGGTATCCTCAAACGGACCCCAACAACCCCTGACAGCCACAGAAACTCCAGGGAGGCTCGCTTGGAAGACGCGCCTGATCTCAGTCAGCTCTGCGTCCTGCTCTTTCCAACGCGCGTAGTCAAAGACAACCATGACGCGCACCGGAAGGGCTGCGACGACGCACATCGGCACAGCCGCGGCCTGGACACGGCCCGCAGGCTCTGGGACGGCGTCGTTGCCGACCGCCCAGGGCACGGGTCCATCACCCTCAGTACCCTCTCCGAGGTACTGGTCCAGGTCGAAACCTCGGAGTTGGCCCGAAAGGCCCTCGAGGTCTTTCGTCCTCGCCGCAAGGAGCGCATCCCGATCCTTGGGATTGCGGCTAAAACTGTCACCCAGCGTCGCTGAGCGACCGCTAAGGCTCCTTATTTCGGACCCATCCATAAGGATTTCCGCAACCCACCGGACGAGCTTCGGATCCATTCCGATGTCCGATGTTTGCGCTCGGGTAAGGTTGGCATGATCTGTCCAACACAGAGTCCGAATAGAGCCGAACATGCGGCGTGTCGCCCGCTTTACCTCGAGCTGGGCAAACGCCTCCTGTATCAAGGGCGGCCAGTTCTGCTGCGCGGGGGTCAGGCTCTTTGAGTGCGTCATAAGCACCTTGAGCTGACTCAAGTCACGCGTCATCTGCACGACGCTGCCCCCTACCGCGATGCCCGACGCATCCGCGATCTGCTCAAGGGGACACGACCCATCCGCAGCAGAGGCCTCATCGAAGGTAGCCAAATTGATGCGGTTCTGCATCATGCGCTTAATCGCTTTAAAGGCTTTGCAACCCTCGGTGGCGGCTGAGCCCAGCCCGCCTTCAGGAAAGACGGCGCCTGGCTTCTGCCACTGCCCTAAAATCTTGGCTGCGTGCCCATACTCAACAGGCAGGTAGCCGCGCAACCAGTTTGCGCAACCCAAAAATTGCTGAATGTGAAGCTTCTCCCAGAGCGGGGGAAAGTCAATCACCGCCTGACAACGCTCTTCGTCAGGCGAACTCCCGTCCCGCCCAATGTTGTGTCCCAGGAGCTTGCCTTTGGAGACACAAACTTCGGCCTTGCTGATTCCAAAGGAGAAGCCAAACAAGATTGACTTGTCTAGGAAACCCTCTAAGGAAACGAGGTGGTCGAGGAGGTGCGGGCACGCTTTAGGGTGCCGGGCGCGCATATCTGCCGCGAGCTTCTCATAATAGTAGTCCGTTGGAGGCTCTTCGATCATCTTCTCGATGTCCCAGCTCTCCACGATATGATAGCTCGGGCAGCGCGCCGTATCGACCGCGTCTGCTGGGCGCACAGCGTCACTTGCGCCTCTCCCAGCAGTGGCCGATCCCTCACGCCAGCCAGCCCAGCGTGGCCCCTTGCGCGTCCTAAAGACCGCGAGGCGTTCGGTGACTGGAACCTCATCGCTGCACGCAACGCTTTCCGCCACACGCAAATCCCTCGTGTCCCAGAGACGCCACGCCTCACCTACGCGCTGAAGCAAGCACGTTTCGTAAGGCGCCTTCTCGACCGCCAGAGTCCCGAGATCCTTCTGCGCAGGGCGCCTACCCCACACAGACGCGTAACCACCCGGCGCCTCCCACCAGCTGTCGACGCTTGGAAGGTGGTCCAAGCAAGTAAGCACTCCAGGCTCCTCAACAGGGCGCCCAACCGGGCCGCTCCCGCCCCACACCGAAGCGAGAACAGTCACCGCAGCAAGGACCGATAGCACACCGATCCTGGCGCCGGTACGCAGCCGCCCAAAGGACCGCGCACACGAGGAACAACCTTGGAAGCTTCTTGCCGCGGCCCTGGACGCGGACCCGCAGGCAAAGCACGGGTCGTGGTCAACCGAGGCAACGGCGACCCCACAATCCGCACATGCCTGCGGAGACGGCTCCGACTCGAAAACCGTCTCAACCGCGCCACAACCACAGGCCGCAGTGCTTACGAGGCCGGAACGCACTTCCGCAACAACCTCGCCCGGCTGGAGAGAGTGATCGCACTCTTGGGCTGCGAGCAACACAAACCCCTTTCCCTCTCCTGTGGGCCAAAGGCCTGGTACGGCCTCGACCCCGCATTCCACCGGAAGCACTACCTCGGACAGGGATCCCTCTGCGGAGACTCCTTGCTCCCGCACGACAGGCACCAGCACCCCGTCGCCTGGCGAGAGCTCGAGAGGCTCTTCCCCGTCGTAGCGGAGGAGCTCCCGGCTTCCGCCCCCAGGCTCGGTGCATGACGCGTCGTCCAGGCTCGACAACCGCGCTTCGAAGGCGTAGGCCCTGTCCTTCCGGGTCTTGCTGTGATCCTCGCACCTGGGCATCCTGATTCCCAGCGTGTCGAGGACGTGAAAGTCGGGACCCGGCCTGAAGCCCAGGCCCATCCTTCCGGCGCAGTCCAACGCTCTGCCGCCGAGGATCAGTCCGTGCCAATCGGACGTCCCCCTGGCTGCGATTTTGCATCGCACGAAAATTTCAGTGTTGGGGCGACAGTCGTCCGCCGTCCTGCCTTCCAGCAGCGTGACGCGCAAGACTGCTGCCCCCTTCAGAGGAACGGGGGCTCCCGAAGCAATGCCATGCACATATTCGGGGTGGACCCACTTCTCGAGTCTCACGACCGGGAAGCCGGGATCTTCGGTACCGATCCCCAGCTCTGCAGCCCGGTTCATCATGCCCACCACAAGTTCCTCGGTTACGTGGTTTGCGCCGGCGCATCCGTCGAGCATGCACTCGACCTTACGGTCGAGCACCTGGACTACCGTTCTGTACTGGTAGCCTCCTGGCTCGTTGTCCGCCAGGTTCCACCAGTCCTTCGGCAGATCGTCCAGGGTGGCGAACTTGTCCCGCCCACCCTTGCTCAACGGAAGCGCGTGCTGCTGCACCGCGGCGCGTCCTGCGGCTCCTGAGACGCCTGCCTGGACGCCTGAGCTGCCTATCTGGACGCTGAACGCGGCGAAGGGGTTGGACATGGAAGCCCCGGAGGGCGCGGCCCAGTTGGCAGGCAAGGCCGGCGTCCCTCCTGAGGTCGTCAGGTTGTGGACCATGTCGCAGCTGGCTCCTTTCTTGCACGACCCATTCTTGGAGAAAAAGGGGCAAACAGTGCCTGGTGGCTTTGCCGCGCCTTTGGCCGCAGCCTTAGGCTTAGCGCTGGCCTTTGCCTTGCCACCTCCCTTCCCTTTGCCCTTGCCTTTCGCCGTGGCAAAGGTTTGGTCACCCTTCTTAGCCGCGATTCCCGTGGTCGCGAAAGTGGAAGCAGATCTTCTTGTCCGCCCCTTTGCCAGCTCCCTTCGACGCAGCGGCAAACGTCTGATCCGCGCCAGCCTTGGCCGCGGCAGCTGCTCCCTTGGCAGCAGCCTTAGCGGCGGCCTTGAGGCTCCGGATCTCCTTCTGAGCCTCGGCTAGCGCGACCGACGGGTCCGCGCTTGGAGAGCCGGTCGTGGAGTACACAGAGTGGGAAACAGCTCGGTGCGCTGCTTCCCTCTGTTCGTACTCCAAGACGACTTTATGGCTCTCCTCCCAAGTCTGCGGCCCCCTCAGCCCGCCGTCCTTGGGGTCGCCGGGCCACAATCGCTTGTCGTTACGTATCTCCTTTTGGAGATACGGGGGCATCTTGCGGAGGTACGAGAGATACAACTCTCGTGGGGTCTTCCCAAGACCCACCGCCTCAAGGTCCGCGATCGACGCCTCAAACAAAGGCTCGAATTGGTGGCCTGTGAGCTTGCCCTTAGCGAGGGAGGCATGCTCACCATCCACGCGGACTTCCCTTTCCTCCCGC